TGTCTTGCATGAATAAATGCGTAAATGTTTAATTTTTGGTGAATATTCAATTTACTGGCTGGCCACGCCAGTTCCGCCATTTTCACACGTCTTCAATCATGGCCTTCCCGATCTAGGCGCCATCGATTTTTCTAGAATCGATCGATGCTTTTGAAATATCATTTTCAAAAGCACTTCTTGTTAATTTAAAATGATTTTATTTTAACTTTTTAGTTTTTGCCGTTTTGTATGTATTACATATATTGTACTGCAACCGTTTATATTATAAATATATTATTTTATAATTTGGTTGAATTATGTATGTAGTATCAGATACTCTCTGATAGAAGCCATGTTTCAAAATTTCTAGGGTTATAATTAGTGTTTAATTTAAAACTTAGTAGATACATTTATTATTAGTAAGCCATGGAATAAACATCAAAAATACATACTAAAATTTATTATATTACTAATTTAATATTAGATATGGATTTCTTGGGAATTTGGTTCTTAATAAATAAAACAACTATTTTGTCATGGTCATGGACGTTTATTCTGTCTTGATCAAGATTCAGGTTTGAAATGGATGATACCCAAATTACTATAAAACGCTATCTACATTATGTTTCCAATCGAAAGCTTTATTTCGCTTCTTTAAATGTCCGGCAATGCAATGCGCAGATAAAGGCTACTAAAGGCACCAGCAAAAGCTGTAGGATCGTTAGCGTCTGCACGGCCATATTGTTATATGACATGCGACATGCGGTCGTAACTGTTCGTGTTTCTAGCCTCTGTGTGAATCTAAAGCCTCCATTATGTTCGTACCCTAACATGGAGAGTCACTAAATTGGATTAAATTTTGTATATGAAACGAAATTTAAAAAATTCTCATACTAGGAGACATAACGTCATTGGTGTTTTTTATTGTAATTTAAAAAAAATGTGCGTTCAATTTAGTTTAAAAATCTTCGTTTTTGAAAATGACCCTCAGCACCCTTTGCCACCTACATACAAGCCCTTATGAGGGTTGGAATGGCAATTTTCATACAAAGTCGAGAAAACGTAGCCATATACAACCCACTAGACTTTGTATGAAAATTGACACTTCAACCCCCCATAAAGGGGTGTATGGGGTGGTAAAGTGACGCTAGGGGGTAATGAGGGGGTCTTATTCATTTTTGGTAGTCTTCTTCGATGCTAGTGGCCCAGAAAACACCCTACTCGACATTGTATGAGAATTGACATTTCAACTCCCAGAAAGGGGTGTATGGGGGTGGTAACGGGGAATGGCTGGTTAAAATTTTTATTTTATGGTCATATTCGGTTTCAGCGACCCAAAAAACGGAGGGGTAGGGGTGCTACTTTCTGGGTCTTGACATTTTTTATTGTGTGCCTGTAGTGTGTGTGTGTGTGTGTGTGTATTAAGCCTAGTCCAGACCTACATACGCTGCCCACAAACCAATGTTTGCAAACATTTGCCTGCAAACAAACCATTTATATACACTTGTGTATTGTGTTTTATTTCCATAAACATTTGTTTAAACGAGGTAGCAATTGAGTCCAGACCAAAGACAAAAACATGTCTTTAGTGAAAAAACATAACGGTGAATAGTGAGGCAATGGCGACCATTTGTGCTGGATATATAATATATTCCACATTTTATATAGCCCTGTATCTATAAACGCAATAAACAATGAACCACGAAATTTAGCGCTACCATTGATACAATAATTTCTTACAATACACTAAACAAACATTTGCTTCAAAAAACGCGTCCAGATTTCCTTCTTGGCGAGTATAAAAACACGGGTGTCCCATTCTGACGGGAATACAAAAACATTTAAACATTTGTTTAAATGTTTTTAAACAAATGTTTGCAAACACATTTTAAACAACTTTTATACAGTTTTTATACAAATGTTTAACTGTTGGCGAGCAAATGTAATAGGTCTGGACTAGGCTTTAGTAGTAATTGTTTTTTGTTATAAGTGTGTAGACGTTTTGCATTTATTAAAAAATAGGCTTTTAGGAATTTCAACTTGAACACCTCGTATCTCGAAACTATAATATATCTTCAATTTTGGTTTATTAAAACAATACCACTTTTTCTTGAACTAAAAATGCCTCGGTATATCTAGCCATTTTCAAATCTCTCTTGAAAACCTAGAATTATTAGGGAATATTTTGATCAAAACTGTATATACAGGGTGTCTCATAATTAATTAGTGTTCAATAATTTACCACTTGATTCTATTGCCATAAATAAGAATATTTTTTCATATAAACATGGGTTGAGAAATGCTTCCTAAAGGGGGCCCCAAAATATATATTTTTTTTAATATTTCCGAAACGGGTTGAAGGAAAATTATAAATTTTGACACCATGAACGCTCATTAACTCATAATAGATCATCATAAACATTTTTCAAAAATTTTAGTCAGGGGCGTTTCAATAGGGGCGGTCGTCGGTTAAAATTTGCCCCTATTTGTTGCTTGCATGAACTTTTCAAATTCAGATGCCAATATATGATAGACCTTCATTTTTTAATTTTAATTTTGATATAATATCATAATCCAATGTAATAAACAACGTGAAAAGTGCTCAGAAAAGTTTGTTAAACCAATTTTTCTCGAAAACGCATTACTTTTCGGTATACTATTCAAGAATTTTTTTTAAATTTATTAAGATAATATAATGAAATGCTTAAATCCGTTTTTCTCGGAAATGGAGCATTTTATCGAAAGAAATAAGAGTGCCTTTTTTGTAGAGAAAATGAAAGTCTACCATATGTTGACATCTGAATTTGAAAATTTCGACAAGCAAAAAAATGGGGCAAATTTTAGCCGACGATCCCCCAACTGCGGCTCCTGACTAAAATTTTTGAAAAATATAATCTATTTCGACCTTTAATGAACGGTCAAAATTCATAATTTTACTTCAACCCATTTTGGAAATATAAAAAAAAATAATTTTTTGGGTCCCTATTTACGGGGGCGTAGCTCCTTTAAATAAATTATTGGACACTAATTAGGAGACACCCAGTATACTCCGTGTATGGTTAGTTTTGTTACCTATTTTTGGGACACTCTGTATAATTATGCTATTATTCTTTGTAATGTTCGCCGGAGCCGAGAATGACTCAAATGTATTAAATTAATGTTTTTGAGTAAGTAAGCTTTGTCTTAAGTTTTATGTTTCGCTTAATAAACCTAAGTACGGTTCTGACTTTCTCCTCCATTCTTTATTTTATGCTTTATGGTCTAAATCAGCTCCATCTGTATGTGGAGTTTGTTAGACACTTCTGAAGATAATACAGTGTCCTACAATAACAAATCAGTACCATCTGTATGCGGGTTATCTAGATTCTAGACGCTTCTCTAGGTAATAAATATAACGCACCTTTGATATTCAAATAAAAAAAACAAAAGAGTACCTACAATAAATAAAAATAATGTAACTTTACACATTCAGTACACAACAAAAACGTTCAGACCACATCTTTATTTTTTTATTTCAGTGTAAAAATTTTGAGACAAATTTTCCAATAAGTCCTTCTCTATTTTGTGAAATGTATATCTAAATCAACAACTTTCAACCTATATATAAAAAAAGTTAAATAAAATAGAATTTAAATTTATCATTTTTATAAAACTGTATTTTATTATTAGGGACAATAATAAATTTAATTTTTGCTTCTGGAAAGTGAAATTTTATGTCGATTCTCATTTATTTAGGGTCACTACATAGATATCGATTAATCAGAGATTTGGCGGTAAAAAATCAAAACTGCTTCTACCAACAATTCGTGTATAGATGTAACACAAATTTCTAAACTTAGCAACCGAATCCAAAAATAAATATGTACTATAATGAATGCAGTAGATATTATAGTCTTGAGGCCCGCTGTTACATTTCTAAGACAAATGGTTTAAACATTTATTACGCTATTCCCCTTAAAAGTTGAGTGGATTTTAAAAAATCTGTGGTGAGTTTATAAACAAAAATTTGTAACACTACTGCTGAGTGACAGTAATTCACTACAATTTTATCTTCAAATTCCATTAATTTTGCACGTGACGACGAATAACATAACCTTATAAATAAACAGTCTAGTCGAGATATTTTTTTTTAAATATATTGTTTTAAGTTTGTGCCTGAGTGTATATTTTGAATTAACAGGGATAGCTTAACATTTGTGAATTTGCACCAGTATTTGAATATAATTATATAGTTTAACAATCAGGCCATAGGCGCCGATAAATAGGATTTCGAGGGAACAAAATTTATATTAAATATAAATTGCCCTATTTTCGAGATTCATGGTGACAAAATAATTTGCCATCTTTTATTTTTCAAACCAAAAGGATATTCAAATTAAATTTGACAGACATTATACCGCTTAAGATACGATATTATGAACTCAATACGTAATTTTAATCATTTTTTAGAACATCTTTTAGCCATAGAAAACAATGATGCTGTTTATTTTCAAAATTTCGGTTGGGAAACTAGAAAATTGTATATTTTGTTGACCTGATCAACCCTGCATTTATTATGACCTTTATATAATGAATTTATATTACATACTTCATACCAGTTTCAATACACTGTAAAAATAAATAAGTTTTGGTGTTAATAGAAAAACAAAAATTTTTAGATGTTTGGTTTGTAGCGTCTCATTTTTTTAATTTTCAGTTTAATTTTTTTTTAATTTTCATTTTTACATAATCCCTGTACGGAAATTAATTTAGTTTCCGTTACCGGTCGATTAGACACACAGAGCACATTAGACACTATTTTTTATTATTTACATTACATGAGACCACGAATCAACTACAGAGCATGCGTCTCGCATGTTGGCATTGAAGATTCCACTTTTACCGATATGTTGATTTCAAAAATTTATTAAATTTTATTAATTTAACAGTTTTTAATCCTTGGAAAATTCTTAAATGCATCTTATTGAAAGTTTTTTATACTTACAATAGCATAGCAATAAGTATTTTAACTTTGTAATCATAGCAATACTTTTGTACTTGATTGTACATTTTGTTTATGATTGTTCTACAACTGCCTTTGAAACTGGCATCTTTTACATGTTTTTAGCAGGAATTTAATGGAATTGAACAATTATTTCATGGCACTAACTGTTATATGATGTGAAACTGTAATTTTTAGATGAAATATATATAGTTTTTTAACGCTTCACACTTATAGGTTAGGTTGGACAGAAAGTTTGAAAGTAGATAACAAATTGCTGCATTTTAAATGTTCAAAATAACTGTAGAATTTAATTCACACTGTAAGTTCTGTCTCTATTTCCTAAATTGTGTTATAGATCGAAATGGGTGATGAGAATCCTCCAACTCCGAGCACAAGCAGTGCTGCAAGAAAGAAGGAGGAAAAAGCTAGGAAGAAGGACCAGAGGTCCTGGGAAAATGTAATGAAAAGTATGGGCGACATGCCTGAAGCGGAGAGAATAGGTGTTATTCAACAAAGGTACACTTCGCTTTATAATGATTTAAGACATACGGCTGTTAACTATCAGAGCTTGGAGAAGAAGTTCATTACTCTGCAAAAGGAGCGTGATCAAGCTCGAACTGAGCTTAACAAGAATATTTTGGCTAAGGCCAAACTGGAAAGCCTTTGCCGTGAATTGCAAAAGCAGAATAAAGCAATTAAAGTAAGTACATAATCTTGTCCTTTTATGTATATGTATATCGTTTCATTATCTCATCGGGAAATATTTCGATAACTTGAGAAACTGTATTCTGATGCTTTTCCACCTTCAAATGATTTTACTCAAACAAAATTATTTTGAGAAACATTTTTTCTAAGCAGTGTGAAATACATATATTTTTTATGCATACTAAATAAAGAGTGGCTCATGTAGAAAAAAGTTTACAATTTTTGGTTTCCTTTTTGTTCAATATTAACTCTACTTTGCTTCAAGTGGCAAGTAAAAAAAATTTACCAAAAAAATATATGAAAATAAAATCATTTAAATTTGGGTCAAAAATATTTTACATATTTAATTGTTTAGTACAATTTTAGAAATTATATTTTTTTTGTCATTCATTTTCACGATGTTTTAATATTGGTGCGTTTTCCATATAAATAAATCTTAAATTAATATTCAATTTTCTTTATTGCACTTCTGATTTTTTTATCTTTTTAGCTAAACATCTACATCTGTTATAATAGTATTCGATATTTATCCTATGCCTGCTATTTTGTATATATTTTTAGTCATACCTACATCTTCATTTGGTATTTATCCCATTCCTGATATTTTAGTTGTTTCATTTATAGTTCCATTGCAGACCGGTGTTGCATTTTCTTGTTTTATGTTTAAGGACGAGAATATAACTCGTGTAAAAGAAGAAGAAGAGAAGCGCCGTGAAGTTGCTACAAACTTCACAGAACGGTTGAACTCCCTGAGTTCGATGATGGATGAAAACAAAGATAAAAGTGTCAGATTGAGGGAAGAAAACATGAACATGACACTCAAACTGACAGAACTTTATAATAAGTTTCAGGAACGTGAAAGTCATTTGGCTGACGTGAACCGTCAGTTGGATGCACAAAAAGAATTATTTGAATTTAAAATTAAAAAAATGGAGTTGGAATACAAGGCAGACCGTAAGGCTTGGGAGGAAGAGAGTAAAGCTTTGTTGTCTAATCTGTTAAAAAGCAACGAAACTAACCGCCTTTTAGAAGAGAACATTAAAAGCATGCAAGCAAATTTAGACGTTTATAAAAATCAGTATAGCGACTTTGAGCAAACTATGTCAAGGAGTAATGAAGTTTTTAAAACGTTTCACGGTGAAATTAACAAATTACAAAAATCTAATACAACTCTGGAAAAAGAACGGGGCGAATACATAGCAAAGTGGCAATCCTGCCATAATTCCGTTGTAGAAATATCCGAAAAGAACCAACAGCTGGCGAAGAAGTTAGAAATGAGTGAAAAGAAAGTTGCGACTCTTGAAAAACTTTGCCGGCAATTACAAGCCGAGAGAACTAATTTGCACAAACAACTACAGGATAAAATTGAATCGATTGACACTTCTCAAAAAATCGAGGAGAAAAATATTACTAATGCTGATTCTTCTAGATCAGCTCTACAAGAATCTGCACCAAAAAAAGTTCAAAGTAAAGATAAACCAAAAGAATCATTAAATGGAGATGTGAAATCAACAAATCGGCTCAGGGTAACAATTTTGGTTTACACAGCTTTTACTTATTAATGCAAGATGTTTAACATTTGTTTTATTAATTTGTGTTTTCGTCATTGCTTTAACATTTTTATGCATGTTTGCTGTTTGTTAAAAAAAATTCATTAGTGGGAAGGTAAGTAGGTAGTTTTGAGGTGGCAGCGCTTTTTGGAAATTTCAGAAATTTGTTCTGTTACGCAGTTTTTATTTGTAAAACCTTTACTCTATAATCAGTGTTTGATTTATTGTGTCTTTTTTTTAATAGTAAATGTACTTTGTTTTCTTCAATTGTTCAGTTATTTTCGTACTTAAATTATTCATATATTACAACTTAAATGACTTTTACCTTTATGATTTTGAAGCGCTTAAATTTATATTTACAAATATTTTGTGTAGTTTTCCACAAGTTTTTCGCAAAAATTGAGTTTTGACGGATTTAGAAGAAAAATCCATTTCATTAATCCTATAAACAAAACAAAATTAAAGTTAACTATCCTTATGTTAGATATTAACCTTTTTATGCTTTGTGCCCGTAGTTGACTCAAAATTGTTTGATGTTCTGTTTTGCACATGCCCGAATCACGCTCGGGCATAAAGAACAATTAACACGTTAGCGGCCGGAGCGGTCCTTAGGGACCGATACCGCCCTTGACTGCTGGGCCGTGGAGGTCCATATGGACCGCCGGAAATAAAGTTAGTTTTCCTTATCGCTGGGCCAGTGGACCGCTTATGCTGTACGTTTTACCGCATATATGGAACCGCTCGGCCTAGTAAAGTAGGTGAGACAGTAATTTCGAAAAAAAAATCTGGAAAATTTTTTATAGCCTAATTCACGGAAACCCCTATTTTATAAGTAAAATAACGGCCTTATGACAATTTAAACACTGTCTATTGATGAAAAGTAAAAGATCAACTTTTTATTATAATACTAAGAGTAAAATGTACATATATATATATACATATAGGTATGTATTTCATTTCTTGAAAAAAAAAAAATAAAAAATGTGATAGTAACATTTATAATTAATCTTATTTATGCAACACGTTGAAGCACTTTAGGCAATAATGAGGCTGATCATAGCAATCAGCGCAGTACGTAGACACTTTCTTCACATTGTTCTTATGTATTTCACCATTTGCTTTTTTCTGGTAACATCCTTTGCAGTATTTTCGGGTTTTGTGAGAAGGATGATGTTCACGCTTTCTGAGTTGTTTTTTAGGAACATGATTTTCTTCCTCTTCATTCAATTCCATATTGTCCTGTAGCTCTGGAAAAATCATTTTCTCGTACACACTTTGGCGACTCTGTTATTGTCGCATTAGTTTCATTGATTTTTTTATATAAATAGTGCGCATTGACCATAGAGGTACCGAAAAGAACTTCTATAACAAATTTTCGATACCATTTTATAGACTTCCGTAGTGCCGAATTGTAACTCGCCATCTGATCATAGAGATCTATAGAGCTCTTGCCCTTATTGTAATGCAATACAGCTTGTGGTTTTCTTTTAGTTTCTCCCCGTACATGAATGTCTAACATTTGATCTGTGTGTTTGGTGGAAAGTAACAACACATCTCTTTTCTCTTTTCATTTCATTATTATGATACCACGTGCATTTTCTTTGGCTATTATGTCTCCTCGTTTTAGTTTTTTTTTGTATTACATCTTTGGGATTTCCCCGCCTGTTAGACCCAAGCGTTCCCAAAAGATGGGTATTACGATCTAGCAATTTATTAGCTAAATCTATACTAGTATACCAATTGTCTGTTATAGCTGTTCTTCCCTGGTCTAGCAGCTTTTCAGAGAGCGTCATCACTATTTTTTTAGGTACGCTAGCACTAGCATCTTGTTCTTTACAGCAGTATGGCACGGACGGGTAAGGACCGCTCTGGTTCGACGATACAAATGTTCGCACTGGGACCGACGTCATATCTTCTACAATTTAGTTATAAAAACCAACTAAAACTAGTTTGTACCAAATTTTTTAACATTTCAACTCAAAATCACCGTAAAAAATCGAAAAAAAAAAAAATTTGGCCCGATCAACAAATATACCAAGAAGCTGTTAGCAGTTAACGTGTTAACACAAACTTTTGTTTTTTTTTTTAAATTGAATAAAAGGACAGTTGCAAAATTTTTTACTATACACTGGATAGCATCATACTTTATTCTCTGTTTTAATTTTCTTTTTTATATAATTTGCACTGTTTTTATGAATTTGTTGTATTTCTTTTATATTGTTTTTTAAGTTATCGACATAATTCCTGGATATAAATTTAAAAAAAAACACCTAGTTTTCCTCATTTTTCTTTAAAATTACTGTGTTGACAGGGCGAAGAGTATGATGAGAATGAGGAGCTCATCTCTATGCCCTCAGACGATGAAGCTTACCAACAAGAGGCATGGCAGGAACAAATAATACAACTCCTCGATCCGTGCGCAGTAGATCCTGAACTACTTACCGCGGAGAATAACGATCCGCATGTAATGGACTTCTCAGATGTAGAAATGGACGCAGCAGGTGATGGGACAATACCGCAGCTGGAAGCTCACTACAGTGTACCTATCGCCGACACTGATAGCGATACTTCGGGTGAAAATCTGGACGACACCGTTATCAACCTGGAACAGCCGTCATCCAGCAGCGAGATCTTGGTAAAGGAAGTTAGGAGCGTTCCTATTACTAAAAAAGACCACGAGGCGATCGATGAAAACAATTTTGAAGAGCTGCAATCTTCTACTGGAGACTTGCATGGAGATCTCAGTATGGAAACTCTTCCCTTGTATAAGCCAATAGCTGTCACCGACGTTCCGACTCAGGGGGGTCATGTTACACTTGTCAAGGAGTCGGAGGCTCGCACTAACATTCTGGATCCGACTACTGAAGAGGAATCGGGTGAGTTAATTTATGTTGAGAAGTGTATTAATAAATAAGGCATTTTGTAATATTCGAGTCATTTAAAAGTTATTAAACTTGAGATAAAAATAATGAAAATGTTGAATTTGCTGATTTATGGAAATAATATTTAATTTATTAAAATAATGGTAAGACGGTGTTTGTGTAGAATGTATGATCATTAAGCAATCTAAGGTCTCGACATTTGCGGACATCTTTTGATTCCCCAATCCCTTTCCCCATAATCAATATTGTCAAATAAATATATGGCTATTTGCAGTGTCTATATATTTTACAGGCCTGTGGTAATTATGTTACCAAAATGATAATTAGTATCCTTTTAGCAACATTAAATGCACAAATTTTTATTTTTGTAATTAGGAAACATTTTTCCTAGAGTTGATATGTTGACATGTTTACTTCACTAAAGTTCAGTAGTTTTCTTTAGATAAGATTTTTTAATTCTTTACAAATGAGTATTCCACTCTAACTGCATCTTTGTCATATCATTATTAAATTTAAATTAAATTGTAAAGCAAACTAATTTGTTAAACTCCGATTTGTTTAAAAAAATTGTCATATTTAAAACATGAAGTTTTTTCTCAAACAGCTGCGGTTTGATGGCAATAGGTTAATCTCTTCTCGCAAGTGAAATTCATTTAGCATTACCTTTTCAAAAGAATTACATCAAACAAAAACTAAAGGTATTGTAATTGTGTCAGTCTTAAGTGCCACGTGCTTTATACATATATGTACATTTTGTATATTATACAGGGTGGCCAAATGAAAACGAAACAGAGCCATTTTCAGGAACTGCGTCAAGATTGTAGAAAAACGCGTCGATTTTAGATTAAAGGGAGACATTCTTTGCTGGTATTTTTGACTCTCCACTTTTACCCCCCAAGCAAGGGTAAGTATCACCCCAGAATATTTAAATGGCATTGGGGGTTGAGTAATATTTCTTTTGAAAGCTCTTACAATTGTCTTTACAACATACTTTAAATTTTATAATTCCGCCCAATACTTTGAAAAAAATTTACATTTTAAAATTTAAATTATGTTTAGTTGCTTACTTACTACTTAGTTGATTAAATGTTCAAACTGATGACCGCCCGCTTCCATACAAGAATAAAGATTTTGTTCGAAACGTTCGCGCACATTCCGAAGCATTTCCGGAGTGATTCGACGGCATTCGTCGACGATTCTTTGACGCAAATCTTCCAGCGACGCTGGCTGTGTTTTATAGATTTTACTTTTTAGGTATCCCCACAAAAAGAAATCAAGGGGCGATAAATCCGGTGATCGTGGAGGCCACTCAATGCTGCCTCTTCTCCCAATCCAATTCCGTAGAAAACGTTGGTCCAAATACTGACGGACAATTAACGCATAATGCGGAGGAGCACCGTCCTGTTGAAAAATCAAATGATCTTCATCATACTCTGGAACATTTTCAATAATATCAGTCAAGGCAGGGTCAATAGCGTCTTCCAGTAATTGCAAATACATTTGGCCAGTCAAATTACCAGGTAGAAAAAAAGGACCCACCAGCCGGTCACCGAAAATTCCAGCCCATACATTTAATTTTTCCGGTTGCTGTGTATGCACCTCGTGAAAAACTCTTGGGTTTGAATCGGACCAATAGCGGCAATTGTGACGATTTACCGTCCCGTTCAAGAAAAAACTGCATTCATCAGAAAAACAGATGTTAAAAAGGAACTGTGGATCGTTCCCTGCTCGCTCACTCATTATTTCGCAAAATTGCAAACGGCGGTCATAATCATCCTCATGAAGTTCCTGGACTAAATGTATTTTGTATGGATGGAATTTATTCTTCTTCAAAATGGTTTGTATGCTAGTTCGATTGATCCCAGACACAGATGCCAGCTGCCTCGTACTTAATGTAGGATCAAGATGAACTTGTCCCAAAACTGCAACTTCACTAGCTTCATTAACTATAGGTTTTTCAATTTCTCGTTTTTTATTGGCTACGTTCCCTGTCTCTTGAAATTTTTTTACTAACTCTAGAACATACTTCCTCCTGACATGTCGATCTTGATGTTGTTCATTAAATAGCTGAGCTGTTCTATTCGCACATTTATTGTTCATAAAGTAAAGCGAAATGATATCTACCCTTTCCGCAATGGAATAAACCATAGTGTTTAATTTTCAAAAACACAATTAAATAAACTACCAACCAACGCTTCCAAATAATACTAGAAAATAATTTGGAATCTACTAATTTTACGTTTATTGTGTGTGTATAGCATTCATTTGTTTTTTACAATTTTTTTTTTTTTACGAAAGTGATAACAAATCGCCAAAAACCAATGTAACGCAAGAAATACTAAATTTATACCATTGGCGTACTTAACTCGAATGACTGACATTTTTACCGTTACTAATTGTTTGTACATAAGTTTCAACTTTAAAATCAAAATTCTTAATAAGTATTGGGCGGAATTATAAAATTTAAAGTCTGTTGTAAAGAGAATTGTAAGAGCTTTCAAAAGAAATATTACTCAACCCCCAATGCCATTTAAATATTTTGGAGTGAAAGTGGTGGAGTCAAAAATACCAGCAAAGAATGTCCCCCTTTAATTAACGCAGTTCTTGAAAATGGCTCTGTTTCGTTTTCATTTGGCCACCCTGTATTTTAATTAAAGTATCAATTTCCTTTATTACAGTTTAACAGTAATAATAGGACAATGCAAATATCTAATGTTGATATCAATTTCAAAAAAATTTTAAATACACAGCTTTAGTTTTCAATTGTTTTTCTAATTTTATTTTATTTTTACTTTGTCTATCCTTTGTCCAAAACTGTGTATTTTATAAATTCTTGTCACTGAAATAAAAATTGATCCGTTTTTTTTGTTCTTTGTGATGTGAAATATATAGGTAACCCCAATACTTGAATTCTAGTCTTAAATTTGAAATAAAATTTTATTCACCCGTTTTTCTACTCTTTTAATTGCTTCTATTTAATTTACAGAGGAACAGAGTGTTCCATCCGAAGACACCGAGTCCTCGGCTACAATCCACTTAAAGGAATCTGAGGGAAAGACTGAATTTAGCCAGGAGTAGTTCAGAACTTTGTGTTCATTTTCTTTAAATTCAAATTGTTTAAAGTTGTAGTTCAGATTTTGTTCAATTGTATGTTAAGTTTTCCAATAGTATAAGCATACACAGTTATTCCTCATTTCATTTAATATTTTTTAAACTCGAAATTATCCGAGTAATAAGAGTTCATAAAGGATGTAGAGTCCAGCAGGTTTTCGTAGACAATCCTTCACCTTTCAGAAAAAAATTTTAAGTTATGCTCTCTCATTGTACGAGTTTCAGCGATGTGGAGGAATATATTAAAAAAAAATGTAAGTATGTATACGATGTAATATACCTGTGCAACTTAAAAACAAAAATATTTGAGGTGATTCCTCGAATAAATTTGAGAAGATAAGTTCATATAAACCCACGTCCTAAACTGTTTAACTCTCAAGATTCAGAGTTAAATTTGTAACGTTAGTCGCTAGGCTCTCACAATTACGCACTATTATTACATGTCTTTAATTTTAGTATTTTAAACGTGCAGTTACTATTGGAACCAAATCCTCTTAGTGTAAGTATTCTGATGTTCTCTGAAAGTTTATAATAAAAATGTGTTTAACACTATTTACTGTTTTTATTTCTATTAACTGCATTTTTAATAACTAATTTCTTCGACTATTAAAAATTTCTGGTTTAAAATTTTAAAATGAATTAAATAATTTTTTGTATTATACTAAGTTGCGATTTAAGTAATAATAATATCTACTCATTCTAACTACGAGAATTAGCCCATAAGTCGGAGACTTGTGCGGGAGAGGAGGCGGCATATCATTAGGCAGACCATATTTGTGCCGAGAAACGACATGTTGGTCGGCCCTAACCACCATTCAGTGCAGGAATGAGGGAAACGTGGAAAACCTCATTAATTAGGGGGGTGGTCAAATGCCAACCAGTGTCAATCTCTCACATTGACCCAAGCCAACATTCTTCCACCCTACCATACCTGCACAGAGGGTGCCAATCCTCCGTACAAGCATAGCTAATCTACGGTCTACCGGCCGTGGGAATCGAACCCGGGCAGAAGTTTGCACACGATTTAAGTACTGACGCCTTAAACCGTGCGGCTATCGACTGACAAATAATAGTGTACTAATTTGGAAAACTTGTAAATCCTGGGATTGTTGGGCAATTTCATAACTCTGGAAACGTCGAGGAAATATGAAGGAATTCGAATTTAACGGTATTTTGTCAAATTCCAATTGTAATCGGTTTCTATATACAGGGTGTTGCTATGACACTGAAAACTAAATTTGCTATTACTACTAGTTTTATGGTGTTTCTGGCAACTTTGTCATGTTTTATTGGTGGACTATTAGTTATTATTAGTTTATGCTATTAATATTCCTATTTGCATTTTGTAATACTTGCTGAACCCCATATTGCACAACAGGGATTTTGAAAGCTCTGGAAAGTAGTGCAGAATTTAATACTTTTCAATGCACCACCAAAAAATAATCCTATTTGCATTTTATTAAGAAAAAATTGGAAATCTAACTATAACCCTGTTATTTGCAGTCCAATTGAAAAGATTCTTGAATTTGGTTTAAATGTACAATTTGTTTAATAATTTAATAACGGTTGTTTTCGTTTTAACTCTTTAATTACGTCAAGTGAGACTTGCTCCTTGCACATCATCCCCACTTCTCCCCAAGCTTTGAAACACATTGGCCGATGGTTTCTACACCTTCAGTTGACCTTTGATGTTCAGGTTGTGAATGTCGTTTCTGTGTTGGCCGTCTCCAAAATCCTTGCCACCTTATTCTGTTCATTGGAATGTATTAAGCACAGAGTTCGGCGAAAAGATGATACATAGAAGGTAAAACCAGGAATAAAACCATGAATAAACTTTTTTAAAATAATTTTTTGTGTTACAGTAATTTCATCTAGTAGGCATCCTACCAATGTTCTACACTTTATTATAAATTCAGTAGTGGAAAAAGAGCAAAAATAGAGAGGGGGCATGTAAATAAAAGTTCCTTTTGAAAATGAGAAGTTTGTTCTGATAAAACGTGTGAATCAACCTTTCTGGTAGTACATGAAGAGTAATACAGATTATAACATGTATATAACATTAAGTATGAATAAATGGGACAAAAACAACATTTGAAGAAAGTTAAAAAGCTTAGTGAATGGAGCAGGATGCACTTTATTATGAGGGTTTGTTGACACAATTTTCCCATATTATTGTTAGATGTCAAACTACACATACTCGCTCGAGATTTTCCGGTGGGAAAAGTCACTTATTTTCTAATATAGCCAACAGTGCACATCAAACAGTTGGGTTTGGTTTTAAGGTGTTTTATTTTTTGACGTAAGTACCGAAGGAAACACAGGAAAAGAGAGACGTATTAAAAAGGTTAAATAAAATCTAATGTGGCACCCATACAAAAAAAATACGTTGTTTTCTGAAAATGGTAAAAAAAACTATGTACTATGATGAAAAGAACAAAAAATGACACCAGGGAGGTTCAAGAATTTTTTAAATTGAATTAAAAAATGAAGTTGGCTAAATTTGAAAAAGGGCGATATTTTGGCAAATATTGCCAGTCCTATAAAATGTTAAATGTTTTTGTTTACCACAAGCCTTTGCAGGAAAAATGATCTTGGATGGGGCTGCATTGAGTGGGACTATCTCTCTTTACCCACGCCATCTCTGTAAGCCCGGATGCCTTATAGAGGCAGGTCCTTTCCCTGTCATCCCGGATCATTGGCTAGGTTCGAGCCGTTCGTGGGGCCTCTTCCTGTCCTGGCTGAGGCCGTTTCTCCTGGTGCTCCTTTCATTGCTAGCTCGTCTGTGTAAACTTCCAGGGGTGTCGTGCTCCGAGGTAGGTGGAGGGTGTGCGATGTGCGTATGTCGTTTTCGTTTCTTGATCCTGGCGGTCCTGAAACAAACAGAAAAATTTCGACTCATCCTGCGTCCAGGAGTTGACGTCTACACTGCCTGCATCTGCTGGAAGCATCTACGGGTCGGTAGTCCACAGCGTTCCGGACAATTTTTGCTTGGGGTGGGTATTGCAAGCTCTATGATGGCCCCTAAAAAAAATCGCAATCAGCAACTTTTACGACCGACACCTTTAAGGTCACCGATTTACCGATATGACAATGATAATATTAGATCTTTTTTTCTGGGGTGCGCACCGAGCTCTCTTTTTGGGCCGTGCACACAACTGCTCCCCTCCCTAGCTACGTCCATGGTTCCGGACCAGCGGGTTGCTGTAGATCTCGGCGCTTTCGAAAAGTTTTCTGGTGCGCTGTCTGAATTAAAATTAACTTTCGCCTGACAATTTTTTTTGTTGGGATAGATGATGTTTCCTTGCGTTCTATGTTTTCCGTTGGGTTAGAAACCTTTTCAACTATTTTACTATTTTTTTTTTGAAGTACAGGATTTTTCAGTAGGTTAGATAACCACTTTGGGTTAGAGTACGGCTGTAATGGAGAGTCGAGTCTTCAGCGCCAGACAGAGGCTAGAGACACGAGCAACAGCTATGCTCCACATCGGTGCACCACTCGACTTTCCGTTAAGGCCGTACCTTTAGACGGGTTTACGTTGCTTTAGATGGTTGGATACTTTATAAATTTCTCGTTGAGTTTTACGATGTTACGTAAAGTTAGATGGTTTTACATTGGGTTAGATAATTTTATATTGGGTTAGATAATTTTATATTGGGTTAGACACTTTTGTAATAGAATAGTTTCGTAGAACATAAATTTACTGATGTTTCGAAGCCAACCAACAAAACGCTCGAAATTTATATTACTCACACAAATGTATCAAAGGCAGGTTACCACAACACACCTAAGCAGCATTACAAGCAGAAAATAAATGCCTGACGAAAATCCTCCTCGAAAATCGCGTATGTTACGAAAGTATGCTCGAAACTTCTCAGACGCTACGAACGATCTTCTGTCATCAACAAGCCGTTCAATACAACTCATGAAGGCACTTAGACGATCGCCACACTAGCAGAATGGCACCAGACAACAATTACCAAAATCACCTATCTTTCGAAAAACCTCACCAACCTTTCGAAATTTCTACCGTCGAGCCACCAGGACGACATCGAATCGGCGTATTCCCGCGTTATCGGATGATGACCACGTCCTGCGCCGAAGCCTCCCTGGCATCGTCGACGAAGGACGAAGGAAATACATTTTTCACCACCCTTTCGAAATTTCCAAAGAGGATGGATCACCGCCAAAGCGGTCTCCCGCAAGACTTTCGGGTCGGAATTAATGCATTCAGTTTTATATAGCCAGGGCCGAGCGACCAGACCAAGGTAAAATTCAAACGTCGCGAGCCGAACCGAATTGTCACTCAACCTATCCACACAGCAGCCGTTCTACCGGGATTCACCCTGCCGGCGATTGAACGCACACCCGCGGTTCCTGGTGAGAGTCTACCACTCGCAGTACGGAAAGAATTCGATCCTATACCAAGCATTCTGTACTATCAGCGTCCTTTAAATAAACGATATATATTTACACATCTTCGAGTTATTATTTCTGAGCCAAAAAATACACAAACCTCGAGCTCTAACACTTTCGGTCAGTTCCACGCTGCACCAAGCTTATTCAAGCCTCAGTACCGGCACTCCAAAGAGTTCGTACACAGTGAATTAAAAAGTAGTGAACAAAAGACAGTGATTTCTAGACACTAGGGTATAAGAGTCGAACCAAGTGCATACAGGGTGACACAAAAGCCCGAAACACGTTTCCAAAGTTCTAAGAAACCAAATTAGTGAAGTGCTCCGACGGCCGATTCGGTCGCAACAAACAACACAAACAGATCGTGGAATCTCCACCTAGGTATATTGAACTCGGTGGAGGACCGGAAATCTCACCTCCCCTCAATGATGGCCGCAGGGCCGTTCGTCAAGAGGGAGAGAAATATGTTCGTTGAGTTGCACGATTTTATATTCGATTAGAATCTTTGTCTGTTGGGTCACCAATTCTTTATTCAAAGATTATTAAATGTATACAAATAATTCTAAAGAATTTATTTATGTTATGTTTATTTGTAGTATTATTTTTAATAAGGGCATCAACTTCAGGTACTTCTTCCCCAGAAAAAATAGTCCTGTTACCTAATATATGACTGTGAAAGGGACCTGACACTCTGTATATGAATAATTGTTTGAGGCTGTATGATCTAAGAAATTAAAATGATGAAATGTAAAGTAATGCCTACACTTGAATTAAGTTATTGACAATTAAATAAACCCATTACAAATCGACTAACTCGATTAATTAAGAAGCTTGCAAAATTCCCATGATACTGATGATGTATTTGGTAATTTAGAAAAAAAAGACATACGGTTACATCAGAACATCTGGCGCTTGTACCAGTGTTCATATATTATTAAAATGTAAAACGAAAATGCATAAAATTAAATGTCCCTCACATCGGATGTCTTGGAGTATTTCCTAATATTTCTTAATTATTTTGCAAGGTGTGGTATTGTGCAAGTACACGATAATTCGGTTGAGTTAATTGTCAAATATAAACTTTCGTTGACCCTGCTAATTTGATAAATTAATGATAATATTAAAGAAAATGTTGTCCCATTAAGCACACGACTGTAGTCTCGTTTAGACATTTTTTTAGTTAATGCCTCGTATTACGTTATAATAGTTCAGTTGATAAATTTGTTAGCAATGGAAAATAAATGTTAAATTAACTGAAGAAAAAGTCTCCTATTTTCAAAAATACCTATTAATACTTATGCTATACAGGGTAATTCGCTAGTCTTGTTACAAACTTTGACAATAGGAAGTACATATAATTTGTAGAAAGAAACTCATATTTTATCGATTTAAAAATATTTAGAGAATTTTAATTCCACAGTCCTTGTACAAAAATAATGTCTCTCATTGGTCCCTTGAAGTGTATTTATTTGCATATTTTTATTCACAGATAGAATTAAAAAATAAGGAAACCTATGCAATTCCAGTTATACTTGAAGATACTGCTGTTTGTGACGTGTAATTGAAACATCATTGTTATTAAGTAGGTATTTACAATTCTGCAACAACTCTCATCGCTCTCCGAACTATAATAATGCTGTGAATGCCTTTGTAGTCTACCGCGGCCATTGTCAAGGTCCAGAAGGCCATGAATTTAACATTCAACGTTAATTTTGCTAATTTTTTATTTATTTAAGTGCATTTTAAATACAGTTTTGTTTTACGTTATGTATTGTATTCTTCATTATTTGTCAAACTCGATCATTTGGGATTTTGTGATAGCTTACTCACTCTCTTTCCATCATATCCTACACAACGTAAACTATACGTTTCATACAATGGTTTTAAATCTAATGCTTTTCTTAACCACTTGAGCAGCCAATAAAAAAAACACCAACAAAATTAATTGTATTGTTTTTACTGATGAGTTGCTTACAAAAAACTAATATTTATAAATGAAATTTGAAATTTATTTGCTAATTCACGAAGTCTGTAGCAGTGTAAAGCCAAATTCGCGACTTAATTCATGAATTCTTCGTGAATTTATTCATAATAAATTGTCAATGTGAAACAGCTATAAGAGAGTATGGGAGTTTTCAACCCCAATTCGATAATGTTGAACGGGAATAATCTCACAGAAAAACCAGAAATTTTAAACGCCGTGGAAGATCCTGGTACCAGTACTCGAAGATTAGCCACGAGATTTCAAGTATACCATATGCTGTGAAAATCAGGTAAGCAAACAGATTATTTAGTTACTTTTTATTACTGCTTGAGTTTTCTGTTAGATTACCGGTTAAGTACTGTTTCATAGTTTATCTTATTTCAAATAATTGAATTTTCGCTTATAGGGCTCGTAGCGAATAGCTAGTCAATAAAAGTAACACTAAAAAGTAGTGCTCTACGGCAGGTGGTACAGAAATTTGCTTTTTGAACATAATGTCAAACAATTTTAACTAAATCTCCAGTTTATATCATTTAAAGGTAGAATTTGTTGAGAACATCACCAACAAATGTTTTTGATGATGTTTAATGACCACCTAATTCGAGTTAATAATTTGGGTTTTTTGATTCTGTATTTCGAAACAAACTATTAGTCCTACTGTTAGTTACAGTCGTATTTTCTTTTACTATGCGCAAATTAATAACTTTACGTAAAGTAAATATTTTGCACGCTAGTGCAAAATATTGGAATATTAACTAGTTGGAAGTATTTTGCATTTAATACAATCTTAGAAGATTCTTACAAATGTCATTCATGAACACACTGAGTAATAACGAGCTAAGAATTGAACCCCGAGGTACTCCAAAAGTAGCATAGATTCAATAGATTTTTTTACAATTTTTTGGACAGAAACTTCTTAAAAGGTAACTTGATTAGCTCTTTTATCATATTTTTTCTCTTAAAACTTATACTTAACACGAAATTTTGCATTCGGATTATCTAAACAAAGGACTATTGTACTTATTCAATCTGAGCACGTTTGTGCAGGTATCCAATTTCAGTACCAAAAAAACAAACATGTAAAACACTTTTACAATCCTTTTCTGTGAGTTTCTATAATGATGATATCCCAAAAAGCGGAGCACGGCATAATTTTTTCCTCACTTAATCTTCAAATCGATCATGCAAGTGCATTTCGATGTACCTGCTGGTTTGGTTTTGACCTCATATCGTCGCGAAGACGTAAAACCCACCTCACACTTTATCATTGATACCGTTAGTCGGTGAGAAGAAGACTGGGTCACATTTCCTTCACTCTTTAGTGTTAACAGCAGATACAACTAACTAGTCAAGTAGTCGAGAGCGACTTGACCGCGCACGTTCTAAAACGAACGCAGTCCGCATTTGTTTTGTTTTTAAGTGTCGCTTGTGGTTGTTTATATAAGTGTATAATGAAGTGTATTAGTGTTTTCTTATTTTTAACTATATTCGGTGAGTTTCATAAGCGATTTGGACACTTGTATATACTACTTAATGTCAGTTTGGTTTCAGGTTGATTTAGTTTAATATTGTATTGTTTATTTTATTAAAAAATCCGCGCGAATGAGGTTATTTTAACTGCAATAAGGTTTTATTGGACAAACTAGTGTTTGGTAATAATATTAAGAAAATAATTGCTTCAGCATTCTTTGAAAATTATTTAACAATACATAAGAGACTGTACATATTTAAATTGTAAGAGAAACTTACTAAAAACTGTATTTCTTTCAAGGTCCAGCTACAATTTAAGTTACAAATAACTGCTAAATCTTAGAATCAAACACAAATATTTCAAACATTCCTAGGTACATTATTCGTTTGAAACTAAGGGCTTAAGTGATTTAAATGCCATTATAACGTTTATCTTTAATGAATAATTTCCTGAGTATAATTCGGAACATTACTGCAATCAGAACTGTCGCATTCTGTGAATAATAGAACTTTCCAAACTTTCATTTGCTGCGCTCCTATCCAAATAAAATATTACAGATATGCACTGACCTGTGCCAAAGTTATATCGAAGAAAGTATGTTGCGGTTCTAATATCGAAAATGATATCAGATATTTAAAGTATATCCTTTAATTTGACATACCAATCTAAAGACACTAAGGTCTAACAGACTGAGACCTGGAGGTTTAGTTGGCCATATAATCTTAAATCAAACAATATCGTAGACGATATCTGACATAAAAAGCTTTTGTCATTATGTGCAATTCGAAGGAACTTGTAAAAATTGTTCAAGGTCACGCAACGGTTTTGTTGTTTTTGAATGAACAGGAACTAGTACACTTGCTTTAGCTAGACACCTAAATTTTGTTGTCTCATTCACAGTGATCTTTGCAACATTTTTTGTTAAATCTGTCGAATAAATCCTTCAACTTTTCTCCATCATCTTGAATCAGAGTGGAAGAAAGAAGTAGGTACATTATTTCAGACGATAGGTGATTAGCGTTTTAAAATTGTTTCATTTTGACAGATTTTGGACAAAACTTGCAATTATAAGGATAATTCTTTTTTTACATTACTTAGACACCTTCTCGTATCATTATGTTAATGATACCATTACATTCTGATCGAATAACATGTTGGTTCTGAAAGTCAAATGTTTATAGGTTTCTAATTCATTTGGTATTCACATTTCGTGCACTAATAACATCTTTGTTCTCTTGATTTTGGCACCTGTTTGACTTTGATCTTTTCAAAGGAGTTCACTGAAAACTATTCTCAAACTGTTTTTTGAGTCATAACGATACATTTTAATTCTTCAGACCAAATCTGAATCATACCAGATAATGAGAAATAGCTATAGACATGTTTTTATAAAAAAAATTGCTATACCATTTTTCATTGCCAAAGTTTAGATATACATATACCATATTTGGATATGTTATAGACCTCTCCAACTTATTCTACAATCTAACAGAATTAATTGTATTAGTTTCAACCTTGACAGTGTCAAAAAAGTTCCTGTGTAACCTTGTGTGATTTTGATATTGTTATATACACAAAATATGTTCTATCGACAATAAAATGGGTATTTAGAAGTTATGAACTGCCGGGATGTTAAACAATGTCTATGAATTATTTAACTTGTCTGGATTGTTTTCGAAAATTTTACCGGTTGAAACGTGATTTTGTCTTCATATATACGTTTAGCAATTTTCTATGTATGCTATTTGACGTGTGATGATTTTGATGGAAAAGACGTGGATATATATTATTATTTATTAACTTTAGAAAGGATTCTTAATAACAAAATTATTGGTCTTGGTTTTAACCTCAGGAAAGGTACGACAAAGGCATGCCTAACCTTGGATGACGAATATAGACTAGAAAAATTCACATATTTTCAGTCTAATTCATTAAATATGTTTTTCTACGTTTCGCATGTCATAAATATTGTAATAGTTAAAAATTATTGTGGATAGATTTATGAAATATTATTTCCTTTAAGTAGTTTCAAACCCCAGTAGCACAAGATATGGCCTCAGTATTGATGTCATAAGTAACATATTGAATTTAGGCCCAATATCTAGACGATTTGCAACAAGTAGATTTAAAATATTAATATTGTGGTTCTTGCTGTTCTATTATCACCCTTAACAAAGACTAATTATTTAAAAAACAGCTATTACAAAGAGATCTTTTTGATACTACACTTTCCTTGGGATTCTTTCATCAGGTAGCGTCTCTTCTCGCATCTAATTATAAATATTAACAGAAAAAAATATATAAACATCAGTGTTCTTCGATACCAGAAATCAAGGTACACAAAAGATGTCTAAACCCACAGACAAGACTCCTGAGAAAAACAATTATAATGAATGGCTTTTGACACTGTCCATTGAAAATTATTTAAAATTGTTTTTCTGTTGATATTTATTTCTGAGAAGAGACGTTATCTGATGAAACAATCCCAAGTAAAATGTAGAAAGGAAAATATTTCTTTGTAGTAGTTTAATTATATTTAGACATATCACTTTTAGTTTTTATTCTGAATAATTATTTATTCTTTCACTTCATCTGACAATTAAAAAAAAGAATAAATTTGTTTGGATTAGCTTAATCTTCTTAATCTAAATGCGAGTAAACGAATCTCACAGAGTTTTTGGTTTTAATTTAGGAAAACCTAGTGAAAAATTTCCATTACTCTTTCAATAAGACACTCTGTATATGAATACCTAGACTTAAAATTTTATTGTGTTGTTTAAAATAGAAGTCAGTAACGTATTTTTAAAATAGAAACGACATTTCTATAAGATCTTACTAATCTCTTAGGAAAATAAATCAACTTAACAAAAAATGTTGAATATGGTAATAATACAGATTTCTATGTCGGTAAATCCCTTTTTTTTTCATAATTTACAGACCCTTTTTCTTAATCCAGGTTTTTTAAAAGCGTTTTTGTGGATAGCAATATATTCTTTAATCTGTTGTATTTTTGGCAATTTACATTTTTTGAAACTATAGAAAAAATGTAATTTTTTATATTTTTCTCATATTATTGTTATATTTCTCTCATATTAGGCATGTAGGCTATTTAATAAAACGATGGATTTTTCTAAAATATAGCAAAACAAATCCTTTTCTGTTAAAAAGTAAGAACTCATTCATAAAATATGACAAACTGATGCCGAAATATGAAAATTATGTCTTATTAAAGTTACAATCCTAGTCATCTTAGAAAAAGCCCATTTCAAGGTCACTCTGTCGGCATTAAAGTGACGCGTTATCAGATTTCAAATCGCCTGCAAAAAGCAAAGCCTTCTTGTTAGTTTATAAGTATTTGATTTTTAAATGATCAATTACAGCAGAGTCATGCCCATAGAAAATAATAATAATATTATAATAAATTAACGTAATAATTATCGTCAACCTTGAGGTAACTATTACTGAAAGGTTTACTGATATATCTTAATGTGGTTATTTAAATAAACTTTTATTTCTAATTTGTATGATAATAATAACTTTGATTTTAATTAATTCAGACGAAATCTGCTATACAGGGATGCGAATACTAATAGAACTATAAAGAAAATAACGAAATAGGCAGAGGTGATGTTATAACAGATTATGAAACATCGTTTTTGCCTCAAATTATTTTTTATGGTTAGCAGTTTTCTCAATCGGAGTAAACTGTTTAAAATTTGAGTCAATAACTATTTGGTTAGTATTTTGTCATTCTTGAAAATATATTAAACTGTTAAAAATATGTCTATGAAAATAAATTGGTATTTTAATAACCATATTAGCAACAATAATATAGTTTTTTTACTATTTAATGTTAAAAATCTAACTTATTAAGGGGTTCTCGTCATTTTAATTTCAATGTTTTAACAAATAGTAGATATAAAAAAATTGTATACAAATTTCTGACATATTTATCTGTAGCTGATTTAAAACTAATTAAGAAAAATGCTCTTTTCCAAAAAAATAAAAAAACTATAACGACAAAAAATTATATGAACTATTTCTATTTTTTTTTAAGTATAACCGGGACACTGTACCTATTTTACCTACTTTAGATATGTTTTAACATTTTATGTTATTTAAATTTATTTAGGCATATTAATACAGATCTCCCTGTACATACTGATTAATTTGCTTGCCACATACTGTGCGTTCGTACCAATAATCCTCGCACATTTTTATGAAGATACCTTGTAATTAATTCTAAAACCATATTAAAATAACCTCATTCGTCCACCTGTAAAATACTTAGCATGTAAAAATATGCTTTGAGCGTACTGTGCAGTCTACACTAATTAAATGTAAAATACTTAGTTTCTTTTGCTAATTTTATTTATTTCTTTCAGTAGAATTTATTTGTTTGTCAATTTAAATAAGATGATATCAATGGTAGAATGAAATTACTGGAGATTTGGGTCAGTGGGTATGTGTGTTACTAATATTAAGGTCCAGTCCAAGTTTGCGGTTCTTTTTGGTGAAACCGAAGAAACTGTAACTGGTTTTTCTTAATTGTATAAGGATCAGGTACAGGATTGCATAAAAAAAGTAGAAGGGCAGTTATATAACGAATTAATATGTGAAAAGGTTAAAAATGTTGTATTTACCAAATTTATTGAGAAAAAATGCAGTTTGCAATATCGATTATCGGACGATTTAATTTTTGCACGACAGGATAGCCAGAATGGTTGCAACATGTGGAAAAAATTTTAGCTGCTATGAAATCGGTTATTAAACTAATTTAAGTAAAAAAAAACGATATTTATAGAAAAAGTAACTGTGCGCTTTTAGAAACTGTGAGTTGTGCACTAAAAAATCTGATTTAAGAAATGTTTTAACAACGGATGTAAAATACAGGGCGATCCTTTTTCTTGCAGCACGAGGGAAAATATTTTGTTACTATGAAATCAGTTCTTAAACGTAGGTATTTAAGTACAGATTTTTATTTTCTTTTCGAAAATGATATTTATAGAAACTGTAATTT